CAAAGCCGGGACCCCCCCCCCCTTTTTTTTCCCCCCCCCTTCCCTCAAACTTGAGGATGGCAAAGCTGCTTGATGCAGCTGCAGCTACTCTGTGTTCATTAGCACAGCACAAGCTCTTTACATCATCAGGATTGCCTAAAAGAAAATAATCCCTTTTAAGGAAGCATTTCATGAAAGTCAAGTGCTGCTGCTCCATGCCCATTCCAATTCCTTGAAGAAGAGGAGCAACCCTTTCATGCATGCATGGTTCTTATCCTGTCCCAGTTGTTGGCCAAAAATAAACACCATTCCACAACCATATATGTGCAACAGCCTCCTGGTGAGCCCCCCCAACCCCCCCCCCCCCCCCCCCCACCACCCCCCCCCGCCTGCCCCCGCCAATAGCCTCGGCTGGGCCAGGAGACCGTCTGCTTTCTAACGCGCTGAAGAGCTATGCATATAACCCAGCTGAATCGGGAGTGCCTCTTACATCTATTTTCTTTTCTGGACAAAAACAGTAGAAAAAGTCTAGCAAAAACATGTCACAAAATGCTAGAAGTGTTTCAAGATCCTTTACTGTGGTCTTTGCTGAACTTTCATTCTCCAGTGGAACTGAAGAAGGATAATTTTCTCCTGGGACCTGCTTTGAAGTACTTATCCATCTGCTGGCATTCACAGACAGTCAAGGTGTGTAACACTGAGGAGTGGCTGAAAAACACTTTCCAGAAAGACTTCTGTAGCAGGCATGAAACTACTGTCAATGATTTTTTACTAGAAGTTTGCAACAGGTACGTTCTTTGGGTGCGAAATTCTACAGCTTTAAAAAAAAAAAAAAAAAGTTAACTGTCACCTGCCTCAAAATGACCGAGCGCATCTTAGAGCTCTTCTCCATACGGCCTACCTGAAACGGAGCAGTGCGTACGTGAGTGCCTTGACTTTTAATAGTGTGGTTAAGTTAGTTTTAGTGGAACTTCCTATTGACTTACTTTACTAAGATTCCTCAAGCCTCATTTTTCCTCTTAGTTTTTTTCCTTTTTTTTTTTTTTTTTTTTTTGACATTAAAAGTACTGGAACGTGCAATAGTGCCGACTAAAGTGCTGCTTAACGAAACTGTACCATTCTGGCAGTACAAACTGTCGGGGTGGGGGAAGGGAAGCCCTAGAGGAGAAATACGGTTTTACATAATGAATACGTCATTACAAAAAGTAAAAAAAACAAAAAAAAAAACAAAAAAAACAAGTTCATGAAACACATCATTACTAAACGTGAACTTCTATTTATTTCCTTCACGTGGTAGTACAGCTTACGTAGTGCTGGGCTCTGTCAGGACAGCACTGGGCATTTTTCTAAGAAGAACTAAATACTGCTTTTAGACTTAGTTAGAATTGCTACACTTACTTACTTATCTACATTTAAGCTTTTTATAAGCTTCAGTAGAGGAAGAAGGACCTACCACTAAGGAAAAGCAGCTTTCAGTGCACACCATTATTTCTTGAGACAACTATACTGCTAGGAAGTGGCTCCAAGACAAAAATCAGGAGGGCAAACCAGGTAGAGCCCATCCTTGTGCATTGTAGAACCAGCAAGGACAGCTGTAGTCACACATTAGCGCTGAGACAGGCATGTCAGAGCCTACCCTGAGCGGGCACGCCACTGGGCTGCAGCCAGCCTTCAGCTTTGGGCCACACTGGGGAGGACAACGGTCCCTTAGGAACTAAAAGAATTTTTAAAACCCACCAGATTACAGGCTGTTGGCAGAGCATAGGGTGTTGCTGAGAACAGGCAACAGTGAAATCGCAAGTAGCTGTTCTAGAACAAGTGATTTTAAAAAAAAAAAACCAGATTAATTAGCAAAATACTGTTAGGAAACACACCTGTTGCTACAGAGGAAATGTCCAGTTTTGGCACTGGAATGTCTACCAGCGGCTGCACTTAACTATTTTCATTCTTTTGCCATCACAAATCTGGATTCGGAAAGTGGACACAGCAAGATCACAGCTCTGCAGACGCAGTTTATCACTGAAGTACAGTCCTCTGTAGAATCCATAACCCCAAACTGGCTTGCAAAGCCTGTGGGTAGCAAGCAATCTCAAAGGCCTGGCAGTCCATCAAAAATAAAAAAAAAAAAAAAAAAAGGCTTTCAGCCTTGAACAGCTTCATTTCCACAAGTTAAATCTGAACTCTTAAAAACTACAGTGTATATTGATACTGCCCCCTACAGTCATTTTAGCCTTCCCAAGCCAAGTTCTTGTCTTGTTGCAGCAACCTTCTCAAAGCAATTCCATCACAACAAAAATCCTAGCACTCTGTGCAAAGAAATATGAATTAGAGTAGGCGCAGTATATATATTTTATATATATTATAGTAATATTTTCTCTCTAAATATATATATTAGAGTAATACTATATTGTAGAGAGTGTGTGTGTCTGTGTTTCTCTCTCAGAGTAGGCTCAGGCTATATAGTTCCCTGAGTTGAGAGTATTTTTGTTCTGTTCATTGACCAAGACTTGAGAAAAGGCAGGTTGGATCCTTTCCTGCTTTGGACATTTGTTTTTCTACCTAGTCACAAGAGTAAAGGAAAAGAGTAAAAAAACCAAAACACGTGCAGGCGACATGATCTCACTGTATTAGCTCAGCTGAAAAGGTGACATCAAGGAGCAGTTTGCGGCGAAGAGGGTGGGGTGGGAGGAGAAAGAGGAACGTACTGGTGTTTGCGTAAGGACAAGAGAACATGCTGCAGTGCTAGCTGTCCAGCAGTGGCCATGAGCAGTGCCCCTTGTTGGCACCCACTGCCAAAACCCTGAAACACGCTGTAAGCACAAATGTTTATTTGAAAGTGCGCTTACAGACACCTTCTTACAGCTCTTGTAGGACAGGGAAAAGCTAATAATAGCTTTACTGAAAGGGCTCACAAGCTAGATAAGCAAACACCTTTGCATTCCTGTAACCATTTTCCCCCCCTCAAAGAAGTCTGGTATTAATGGAGAAACGTTAAGCTCCATTTAGCTAACGATATGGGATAGCTAAACCAGTGCTCCCTGCAGCAAGCTGCAAGCAAGAAACCAACACACTTTGTAGGGAAGGCTCTGCAGGCTGGTGCACAACGGCTAGTAGTGCCTAGGCTGCTTCAGTTTTACACATACAGTTAATACCAGTCATCAACACACTGCACTTGGAGAAGAACAGGCCTTTTCTGCATTTGCCCCAGTCTAGCTGAGCAACAACAAGAAATACTTTTCATTCGTTTAACAGGAGAATTCTTACCAGTTCCAGCTGTTTGAGGAAGGTTTAAGAGTTGTGTGGGGAATCGGACATCAGCACTCCATTAAAAGTAGCAGGTTGAACCTATTCAGTAAAACCCAGGAGTTGCAATGCACATGTTAATTCCCATAAATCAAGAGCGAGAGAGTGAGAGCGTCTTACTTGCCCATGCTCAGCATGTCTACAGTCTCTTCTCGCAGTTGTCCTCAAATTCATCCTGCCTCAAATCTATGAGCTCTGCTGTCTTCATCCCCTGGACCTGGAGGAGGGCAGCACCACGCACCTCCTTAAGAAAAAAAAAACAATGCAGCTGCAGCTTAACAGGCATCCACTTTCCCTTCCCACTGTGCTGACTGAGCTCCAGATGTTGTGATGAGCAGGAAAAAAAAAAAAAAGGAAGGTTAAGTCTGAGATTAGTAAAGCTGTGTATTAAGCTGTTTAAATGCCTCTGTCTACTCATGCTTTTTTACCCCTCCTGGTAGAAGAGAAAGTATTTTTCTAACTTTCATTTTAATGATGACAGTGTCTTGAAGACACTGTCTTCTCCAAACTCTGCACATTAGCACATTACTCATTTTTCCCTCCTCTCACCTGTAACAATCGCCATGTTTTCAGATGTCAAAACCTGCTCTCTCTGACCCTCTCTGGGTGTGGCCACATTACAGATGATTGCATCTTGCTTCTTCTCAAAAACTGCCCAAACCTCAAGACGCTCAAACTGGAAAATTGCGTGCGGATCACTGACCAGACCCTGGAAGCCGTGACCCTCTACGGGGGATCCCTGCAAACGCTCCACGTGGATTTTTGCCGGAACATAACACAAAGTGGTCTAGAGAAAGTCAGGGAAAAACGTCCTTCAGTAACGCTAAGAGCAGACAGAAGCGCTAACATGATTCCAGACAACAAGCCAGAAAAAAAGCTGATGCTTGAAAAGGCATCAAGAAAACTGGTTCAGCTTTAAGTGGAACAAGCTGTATGAAATCAGTCAACATGGCTCGTCTACCTCACTTCCCCTCTCCTCCCAGGTAGCAGGGCTGCAGTTAACCACGGCTACTTAACTGCACGCTGGGCTAAGTCCAAACACATGGCTGGTATATTTTGTAAAGGCTCTACAGCGACAGTGTGTGCATCGCCACCAGTGCAGTCTTAAGACGTTTTGTTTTCTGCTGTTTCTTCAAACTGGAAAATCCTACATTTCTGCCACAAGATGGTAGCCTAGATTAAGGTTAAGAAACTGTGATTCTGATATCTTTGCTGAAGAGGGAAGGGGAGGGAAGAAAAGCAGCAGCCGATACTGCTTGGGTAATTGTATGATCTACCTACGTTTCAGGGAAAGCGTGATTAACAGATTTCTGTAAAAGGAGATGCAACACACACGTCATTCCATCAGCTGGGGTGACAACCACTACGTCTCAGATCCTTCTGGCTAGCAGATCACATTACCTGACAGCCACCACTTCCTCAGAAATCAGAATTTGTAGCTGATTTGTCAGGCCTGTTTATTGAATGCGGATATGTATGGCAATGTGCACAAAAGACTATCTGACCCTCCGTATAATGTATTTTGACAAGCTACCCTTCAACTTATTTTTTAAAGTTGGCATTAAAGTGAGCCAGTCTGCAGAAGTAACCTACCTGAAAAGGCAATGATTTACAGCCTGTAAGTTATGCAACTTCAAATGCTGAATTAGGAAATTGCTACGGCAGAGATCCGTATTAACACCTGTTTGTCTCTGCAGCAGTAAAAACACGCAGCTGTTTGCATCCCAAACCACAGGCTGTCGCATTCATACTGCTTTGCTACATGGAAATGAACCATTTTTTAAAGGGTTTAAATTGTGTGGAACAATTCAGAAGAATGATTGCGTGAATTGTTTTTTGTTTGAACTACAGCATGCCTTTTTAAAAAGCACCATCTCAAGCCCCGCACTTCACCTATACGGGAGCACGTCCTCAAATTCAGCTTTCCATTATTTTCCATTTTGTACAGCAAGTGACGTTTCTGACATGCCCAGACTTTGGCTCCTAGAGAGCATACCAGAAAATAAAAACCTGCATATTCGTGCTGCCTCTGCACCTGAACTTACTTTACCATGTATCTCCTCTGCACCTGAGCTTACTTTACCATGTATCTCCTCTCCCATTCAATGCAAGTCACTGAAGAACTTTAAGCTTGCAACGAGAGGTGGATAAATCTGGCTATTGATGATTTAGTTTCTCCTACAGGACCAGATATCGGGACAGCTTCGATACTGAACACAAAGCTACGTACAGCCCAGGCTGACAAGCTCTACAGGTCCTGAACAACAGAATTCCAGCTTAATTCACGATGAAGTCTACAGCAGGAAGATTTCATTTTAAATAAAAACTTACAGAGAGTAGAAATACCTGGGTAAAGGTTTCTGTCCTTAAAATTAAAGCACATTTAGAAATATTAACCTTGGGAAAATAGTGTTCTGTCCCGAAGAGTCAGCATTTCTGTTCCATTCCGTTAGAGGTATTCACGACGACTTCGCTACAGCAATCTCTCTGTGCGCACATCATAGTAAATCTGGCTTTGATTTAGATGAGGTGCTCTATATTCGTTCATCAACCCATGAACGAGAACTTGCATCACTGGAATTCAAGTATATCAAGACTATCATGGTTTAAAATAATTTTACAGCTTTGATGCGTTTTTACAGTTGTAAATGCATCTACAGGTAAAGCTCTGCAGGCTTCTATTTTGTTAATTACTTGTCTGCATTTTACTCTCTCTTACATAACTGGAAGATTACAGGAGCTAACATTTCTGATAAGGAACACAGTTAGTGACGTCTTAAAATTGCTATTTAGTAAGTTATTTAAGGTTGCTATCCATATCCAACATGACACTTTTTTTTTTTTTTTTCCCCTTAGAGAATGATGTGACCGCAGTACCTCTCTTAAAAGATGTATGGAAAAATTGCTATTCAAATAAAGCAGATTTCCCCCCCCACTGGCATCCAAAATGTAGAAAGAAGTTCTTAAGTTAGATGTCAATTACTTATGAGTAACTGGTTTGATTTTCCAGCATCTCACTGTATTCTTTTAACAATATTACTACTCCTTTTATTAAAGTTATGTGGAGAAATGTTGCTTTGGATATCATAATGTAGAACTCGTATTTTAACTTAGCTCTGATGCCTCAGGTAGTTGGTCTTGAAATAAATCTTTATTTCAACTGATGTGTCATCTTTCCTTCATGTTTGAACAGAAGAAAAAGAAATATGCTATCAAAATTCCACTTGAAGCCAATTCTTATTGCAAAAGTAGAACTGTAAAACTGTATTTCCAGTTAGTTTCTCTAAGAAGATAAGTTTCAATCTCAGCAGAAATATTTTTTATAGACTATATTCCTAGGGCTTATTCTTTCCTCTGCAAGAACTGATTAACTAGTTATGGACTCCTGAAAATATCCTTTATACGGTGCAACAAAAATGGAAAGAGGATTTTACAGCTTTCAACATTAATGAATATACTTACTCGTCTTCTCCATCCTGGTTTATCGATCCACAGATATCCTTTGGTACGCTTGTCATTTGGCTGAGCTACAAAACAAATCACAGCATTACAGAATCTCAGTGAAATAGAGCTAAAATTCTAGAGGAATATCCTGTCAGGATGAAGATCCATAAGAAACACTTACCCAGGAGAGACATAAAGAAAATAATTTATTATTGCATCTTCACAACTTGGTGATACTTCAACAGCATAACACTACAATATTCTGCTATTTCATTAATTCATTCCTAGAATTTAAGTAGGACCCTTATGCAGTACCAAATAAGGAACAAAACTGGAAATATTCCAGGAAAAAAAGGGCAAACAGCAGTCCTAAACCAGCATTTACAAGTCAGAAAGGAGATGGCTGCACTGAATAAACGGACTGCAGTGGGGAAAATGGAATGCTTACACAACTCTCACCGTGAATATATTATTTCTGCACGGAAAAAACCCAAGTTTCACATATTGCTGTTAAGCCAAAAGAAAGCGTGAATTCTACAGTGGTCTGAGTAACCAAGGACCCTGTACTGATGCCAGCTCTAAGCGCTCTGTGATGGATGCCTTTCTAGGGAAAGGTTAGATCTAACACCTAACAGGTTTCAAGTAGCTACAAAATATGAAAGTGGACGTGCATGGCCTACATATTATTTATGCCTTTCTGCCTGTCTTCCATCAGGATTGTTTCTGAAGTTTGGTTGCTTGGCTTATTTTTTTGTATGTATGTTCAAAGTCATATTTCTTTGCCCCTCCCCTCCTTGAATTAAGGTATTTTTTCATGATATGGTAAAATCTGACCACCCAGTGCTGTTTTTCAGCACCAATCATTAGTTTTCCTAGTTAGGAACGTAATTTGAAAATTGCGTATATAATCATTACATTTTACTTAGGCTATTACGTAAAAGGATGGAAGCGCACTGAAAGTTTTCCTCAGTCCCGAGCCATTTGAGTTCTGTCAAAATTCTCTTTAACATTAGTGAAACATTGTTCACTTCTCACATACTCTAGCTTAGTATTTTGGCTCTGACTTACCAGGTATGGAAGGTGGAAGGCTTGTTATACGATACTTCCCGAAAGTGCTTAGAAGAAAAAAAAAAAAAAAGTGATACGAACCAAGACACCTGCTCAGATTATCAGATGCAACCAGCAAACAATGAAGAAATTGCTTACTTACCAGAAGTGCTATTTTTGGCAGTCAAACATCACCGCTCAGTCAAGAGGTCTAAATGACAGAAATAAATCTAACTTCAAGACCTGACCTGATCACTTGTGCCCTTCTGAGAAGAGGTGGACAACAGTTACATACACATTCTACTCTTATCAGTCCCCTCTAAGCATGACAGAAGCCAGTCCCACCAACCGCTGCCGTCCTAGCGCTTGCCGCACCCCCTAACGCCACTACTGCAAGCCCAGCAAAGGGCGGAGGGCTTATCCAGCTCAAGTGATGGGCCCTCCTCTAGCCCTGGGGCTGCCTGCTCATCTCTCTGATGGAGCCTGCCTGCCTGTTTCAAACGGCTGGCCAGTTGTCTGAGAGCCCAAAGTGCTGTGGATGTACTTCCTAGCGACAGTTCCTGGTGTAAAAAACGGTGAAGAAAAGTGGTTGGAAATCCCAGAGGAAGTAAGAGAACAAAATATCTAAATCCAGGGGAAAAATAGGACAAGAAATATCAAACTGGATTTCAAGAAGCAACAGTCCTTTAAATTAGGGAGAGCGAGCGTTTCCTGAAGAGCTGACAACTAAGGAAAAGGCTAGGTCTTCCTCACTTACAGTAGAAAATAACAGGTAGTAAATAAAAGTATTGTTTAACAACAGCTGCAGGCTTTCGGCATCACAGTGCTTTCCGTGTAATACCTTCCCAGAACAGTACTTTCCTGGCAAAAGCTTTTCAAGCTGTTTTTTTCCGGTTATGTCTAGAATTTAACACTTCCAAGCATACTGTGTTCGAAAGCTCACAGGAATTTGAAACGGCTACAGACAAACACACTGTCTTACAACCGTTCTTACCTTTGATCTGCATTTGGCATCACTGATCTCTGCTTCAGTCATGTACCTCAGAGCCATCCAACCCCGAAAGGCGGAAGGGAACCGAGGTGTCATGTTTGGGGACAGCGCGTCCACCTCCCCGAGGCCGTTCTGCCTGGTGCAGCAACTTTGCCCGTGGAAGGTCTGCTACAAGAAGTCAGTTGCGTTGTGTTCCCCCCCCCCCCTTAAATAACTGCATACATGACCTGCTACTAGGGAACGCACACATACGCTGATAATATTTATTCCCCTCTCTATACAGGAAGAGATTTGCATACATAAAATACCCTTAAAAGGACATAACGTTACAACTTTCTCAGGTGGTCTCCAACAGTAGGACAGAATCAGTGCCGTAAGTTCATCTCTGTACGCAGTTCTGCGTAAGAAGCATTAGGCAAGAAACATGATTCCAGTCTCACTCAGATGCCTGAGCAACAACAACAACTAAAAAAGCCAATGAGCAGAGTAAAAGGAATGCATGCACAATATAATCATGGTGAAAACAAACAGTAGGGTAAAATAAAAAGAATTAAGCATTTGATAGATTTAATCATGCTAAGATAGAATATTCAAAGGAGAAGCAGAATTTAAAAAACTCAATTAAAGAGCCAAGCACATCCCTTTAATCAACATTAATATTTACCAATATCAACATCCTTTACACTTTACTGTAGACTGCCTCCAAAAATACCCTCACTACCCAAGAACCAAACTGCATAGCCCATACAAAACTAATATTTTTTTCAGGTGTAATTCCCACTTTCTTCCGGGCTTCTGAGTGAAGCAGACTGAAAAATCAGTAGCACTGACTCAGACACATAACTGCAGTCTAGTAGACAATAATGCAGGATTTTAAACAGCAGTCTACCCTTTTATTGGTAACTTCATGTTTTTCATGTATAACAAGTATGATTTCTGACCAGGATGTGAATATACTCCCCTACAACATAGGGATGGGGTACCAAAACCTAAGTCCAATTTGGAACCATACTGCATCCTAAAGAAGGAAATCAGGTCTGCATGACTGCAGAGCCCCAAGACCCCTTTCTCCCACAGTTGTTGCAAGTTCCCCTCCGCGTTTCACGTTCTAGTCTGGTTCTTGGTCATAGCCCACGAACCTTTTGCCTTTCTCAATAGCCAACAGCTAGTCGTTACTGAGAGGACCTCACCAGATAAAACCTGGATCTTCAAACTTTGACAATTGAACAAGTCAGCCCTTTGACCACTATTAGCTGGCAGCAATACACCACATTCTGCTCTTGACCAACTTGGCCTCTTTATGAAATTCCCTAATTAATCCCTGCTGAAGTACAGCAATCACATGAGGGCAGAAGAGAAGAATTTCTGCTTTCTTCTCCAGACTCAGGTCCAACAGTCCTGTCCCAGGCGAGTTAGGCTAACAGACATTCTCACTAATCCTCAGCCCCACGCCATCCTTGCCAAGGACTCCAGCGTGAGCGAGGGGGAAATCGGGGCAGAGCAGGGGCGACCCACCAGGGGAGACTCTACCCTTTTCCTCAGCCTAGTTAAATCCTGCTACTGAACACCACGTAGTTGCTTTAGTAGTTTGACACAAATCACATTTGTTATACAGACACTGAGGGGAATTATCTACTCTTCGGCACTTCCCCAAGACACAGAACAAAAGATTTCTTTATACAGTACATTACTGTCCTAACCAACGATGAGCATTACTGTGTAAGCCACACACTTCTGATTATAATGCAATTACAGCTCTAACAAAATAAGACTAAACATACGCAATTTTACTAAAATCAAAGGCCTAAACTAAGAATGTTTATAAGATCTACAGCCTGGCCTACTGTACTGACGCTTTCATTCGTAATTTCTTTGCGCTCTGATCAGGATTGACTTTACATATATTAAAAAGGATTGGGGGGGGGGGGGGGGGGGCGGAAACGGGGATTCTCTGTTTCAAGGTAGCCATACGTTATCACTGTCAACAACTACCACTGTGGAGGAGAAAAGTGCTTAATGAAAAGCAAAACAGAACCAAGTACAATTTTAACTTATATTTAAGTACAGGTGATAAATAGTGGTATACCTCAAAGTGCAGGGTAGTGCTACACATCCGATTAGTTGAAGATAAACATTTTAAGATGTTTCAAATGTCCTGTCTAAACACTGCAATATTAAAATTTCCTGAGACATATCATGTAAAAGTGTGAAGGCTAAGTTAACCAATAAACAGTTCACAAAGGCATACAAGCAACCAATTCTTGAATTTGCTTTATTTTCTCTGCATAAGGAACCCTGCACAGGCAATTCAAATTAAAACAAAATAAATATGAGAATATTCATGTAAAACTGTCCTTGCTAATGAACAATTATACACAATGTACAACTTCATGTTCACTGGGAGGGCTTACAAATGTACTATTCCCAACAAAAATGCACCAAAATGTCTCCATGCAAACTTATCAAAAGTGACCAAAAAAGGAAAAAAAACTTACTGATCATAGTTTTTTTGTTTCCTCTTTTTTTTTTTTTTTTACAATCACAAAAAAAATAAAAACATCTAATTTTTTGTTACATTTAGAGTAACTAAAATGTGGCCACTGTTTATTAACATCTGTTTTTATGCTCCTAAGACATCTATGGTTATCATAAAATTGTGCCAACAATGAATTGGACTT